ACCCTAACCCTAACCCCAACCCCATCCCTATCCCTAACCCTAACACTATCCCTATCCCTATCCCTAACCCTATCCCTATCCCTAACCCTATCCCTATCCCTAACCCTATCCCTATCCCTAACCCTATCCCTAACCCTATCCCTAACCCTAACCCTATCCCTATCCCTAACCCTAACCCTAACCCTATCCCTATCCCTAACCCTAACCCTATCCCTAACCCTATCCCTATCCATAACCCTAACCCTATCCCCCCCAAAAAATAAATAAAATAAAATAAAATAAAATAATTATCATGGTTATCATTTATTTAAATGGCTGCACAGTAATCCATCTTATATATGTGCCATCTTCTTCTAAACCTATTCACTTACATGGGCCAGGAGTTTTGTTTGTATGTATAAAAAAGGGGTACCAGTGTAGATGACAATGCACTATGTTTTTTTCCCAGTGTGTAATTTTTGCCAGAAGTGCCTTTAAGATCACATTTGAAACTATTAAATGAATGATGGGTGCATAGTAGTGTAGTAAAACCAGAAATTATTTCATAATGGATTTGTTTGAACAAAAACATAGTACTTATGAACCATCTAGCTTAGTTCCCTTATATTTTCAGCACCTAGAAAGCCATAATAGATCATCCAAACCAACAGAAGTGGCTTTGATCAACCTGCTACTTTGCATGTACAATTCTAGTGAGCTCCATCCTGGCTTCATAGACTAATAACCCTGACCCATCCAATAAGACCAGCCCATTTCTCTGCTTGTCCTGAGTGCCCAACAGAATCCAGAAGCATTTTTTATGCCCTCGGAGCTACAAAAATCCGGGACTAGCTCGTGAATGCAGTCTAGCACTTCCTAAATTGTGATCCATAGAACAGTAATGCATGGGATGCTAGCTAGAAAAAATGAAAATGGTGAACTAAACAAAATCAGACATATTTCTATAGTGCAGGATTTCCCAGAAACCTGATTATGCTAAAGTGCATTGAGATTCTCCAAAAATGTATGAAATATAAAGTATTTTCCTAACATATAGGACCATGAAACTCATTATACTCCACAGTCTCATGAAGAATATTTCTGTTTTATAGAATATGATTTAGAAAATATAGATACAAATTGTGATGGACATGAGAACATTAAAAAAAAAAAAGGTAACTCTGGAAGAGAGCTCTGCCCTTTCATCACTGACAAGCCAGACTGGGTCCCAGGTATTCATGAGTTTGCAACTCTGCAGTCCACACAACCTCCTCCACATCAGTAGCCCAGGGGTTCAAATAAATGTTAGGCAACTTTTGTGTCCAAATCTGCCAATTTAAGTGCCTCCTAATGCTATTTAACCTTTCCTCTGGTACCATGACCACGATGCTACTAGAAAAAGCCTCTTGAAATTTTGTGCGACCATTTGCCTAGATGATATATACTTTATATATTTTTAAACATATTTTTATTGATTTCAGAGTGGAAGGGGAGAGGGAGAAGGAGATAGAAACATCAATGATGAGAGAGAATCATTGATCAGCTGACTCCTGCATGCCCCTCACTAGGGATCCAGCCCATAACCCTTGACTGGAATCAAACCTAGGACCCCTCAGTCTGCAGACGGATGCTCTATCCACTAAGCCAAACCAGCTAGGACTAAAATCTACATTTAAAAAAGCATACTTTACAAATACCATTATCTTTAAAACTAGTAAAAATGCCTCTAATGGAGGGAACCATTGCCTCCTCTTTGGGAAAACATTTATTTTTCAAAGATTACAATTAAGATTCAGTATAGAATCATTATTTTGTTTTAATTCATCTTGAAGTGGATGCTAGAAATAATAACAAGAGTCAGAAATCCAAATTGAATAAATGAGTCATGATGTAGTTCCATCCAGAAATCACTGAGCAATTATAGCCCCTTAGTTTATTTGTTCATTTATTTATTGAAAACATTTATATATCTCCTCTTATGTATCCTACAATGAGAAAATGAATATGATGGGATGGTTGCCCTACTTACCACTTTAGCAGATAAAGATTATCTTTTTTTCTGAAGGAAAGCAAAAGTCATTTTAATATAGTCACTGAATTCCAAATTAAATTGAGAAAATAAAATTTTTTAATTTGGCTCACATTCAAACTGAAACTTTCAATTTTGGTTATAATAGTTTAATTAACATGGAAGGTTATAGAACATCTAACTAAATCAGTGCAAGTCTTAGTAATTCCTCTGTGTACTTCCTGGGATTTCCCCCAGTCCTTACCTGACTTCCTTTAGCCTTTGGTGCTCCTGCCACCACACCTGCCTGTGTTGTTTTAGTAGTTGTTGTTCCTTAGATATCTTTGAAGTCTGCACTACGTTTTTGATCTAGATTTAGAGAAACAAAAATGAGCCATATAAAATTCTTAAAATGTGTTTTCCACAAAGGAAATATTTAATCTGTATTTTCTAAATTAAATACTAACTCTTTTTCAATCTTATTAGTGCATCTTTTAACACAAAATTTACCTGAAAATAAGTATTATATTAAACAAAAAGCAAGGAAGTGAAAGAGAAAATGATTTGGAATACTGACCAGTTTAAGAACTGTTTTTAAAGCATTTATGAAAAGAATGATGAAGTGGTTCTATTTTTCATACATACAATAAATAACACCTAATTCATTGAGTCCCAGAAAATTTTTCCATGTATTTTCTCGCCTTCTGACATACCTTCCCTGCCAGGCATCGTGAACATCATTAGGCCCATTTTACAGAAGAAGACACTGCTGTTCAGAGAAGTTAAAAGACTTGGTCAGGGTCATAAAGCTCATACACATGAGAATCACACAGAAGCGCGGTGTCTGAATTGGTTTTTATCTGATCCTTCAGCAAAGGATGAAAAAAGTCATTGGATAAATTGTTAGGAGGCCTGGCTATATGACCTTGAACATGCAATTTTAATCTTCCATGACTTTGTAAACAAGTTTTTTAAATATTTATTTGAAGATACTTGAAAATGTAAAAATTTATATACATTAAAACCCATATTTTTAAAATTGAAAGTTTCCCCAAATGTTATGACTTTAAAAAAGGTATCATAGAATTAGTGCTGGGGTTTCTGTTGACAAGTTCTGTCAGGCCGGGGTTTGTTTGCCCTAAGATCCATTCTTGGCCATTTCTCTGATCTGCTCCACATCACAGAGTTGCCTGTGTTTCCCAAACACTTCTATCAGTTGGCTTCCGTTGGGTTCAGCCAAAGGGAGACACTGGCAGTGGGAGATCGAAGGGAAGGAGGAAAGGAGAAGCCAAAAGATGACTGCTCCTACCTCTCTACTCTCACAGGGGTCTCTAGGAGCAGCTCCACCTTCTCCATTTGCTCCCACTTTTCTTGACAGCTTTACTACAGTTCCAACTATCTCTGGGTAGGGAAGCTCCGTTCATGAGATGTGGTACAGCCTTGTTTTGTTATTGAATTTATTGGGGTGATATTGGTTCACATGTCCCTTTAACTTAGGCATGGCATGATTTCCTGCTGTTTTAATCCCAAATTGTTTCAAAGTCCTGTTTGGCTTCTCAGCTCTATCACCTGGGTAACCATTCCTGAATTAAAGACCCCTCTGCTCAGTAAAAACCTCCTCAAGTGGTGTCTGTTTCCAGGTTAGACTCTGACCCATACTCATGTGTATTCCCAACTTGTGTATTTCGTATTAATACTTTTAAACATCTACAAAAGTGCTATTCATATCAGAAACTTCATGAAATATGCATATTTTACATTTTCTCTGCTACTAATAGCCTGAAAGCTTTAACAGACCAATACTTAAAATATAAAAACTTCAGAAGGCAAGACCTAAAAAGACTTTCTAATGCAGGCTATTTCTAGCTGTCATTCACTGATTACTTTAACCTTGAGTTTATCTTTCTGCTATTCTGGTTACTGATTCAAAATTAGGCCTGTAACAAAACAAAATAACCTAAATATTACTTTACAAAAACACAAAGTCAAAGTCACATCTTTTCTTCAGAAGGTCTTAAGAGTGCCACAATCATGAAATTTAGAAGTACATTCAAATAACAGGACACCACCAGAATACATTCAAAATCTCTATTTTATCTACACACAAAAAAGTACATAGTGACACCATACACTTCTAAAAACTGACATGCTCCTAAATTCATTCCAACTATTTGTCATCTATTGTCTCTAAAGTTTGTTGCAGCAGACACAACTTTTAAAATTAGATTTCTTTGACATATTTGGTCCATGTTGTACAAAAAGTTAAAACACATTGGTGAAAGATGTAGACACATTTTTATAACTTAAAAAAATCAATACTGTTGCCTTTGGGCCCAGGGAAAGACAAATTAAATAGACTATAAACATCAAAATAAAGTTACTATTTTTCACTAGACACTTCCTATATCTTGCAGAACATTCTAATTTTTTTGTAAATTCACTCATTGACTTCACTTCTATCCCCAAGCCAAAAATTCAGAAAAATAAAGTCTTAAAAAAGCAAAAAGTTTTAAGGTTGTATCTTTATCAATATAGAGATTTTCAAGTTATTCCAATTCATGTTGCAGGGCAATGAGCCAAATGAAATCAATATTTAAGGTGGATGATGATTTATGCAGAATGCTGATAAATTTAAGAGAAAATAATAAATTCATAAAAGAATCAGACACTAGGGTTCCTTATGGACTTCATTGTGATGATCCAAGATAATAAAACTTAAACAGGCACCTTGAAATGTCATAAAAGCACTTTAGGCCAGATGGTCCATCTTTAAATATAAATATCAATAACTGGAGGACTATTTAAGTGTTGGTTACATGTGTGTAGATATTTGTCAAAATTCATTGAGATGTACATTTAAGATTTGTACACTTTATTATATGTGAATTATACCTTAATAAAGAATTGTTAAATAAATCAAAAGAAAAAACAACTATATACACTAAGTTACAATTTCACATCTATCAGGTTGGTAAAACTGCAAATGTTTAACAAAACACTTTTTGAGGTCATGGAAAAACATACTCTCTCTTTAGTTGCTAATGGAAATACAAAATGATGCAAACCTGCCCCCAAGGGAATTTGAAGCTGTATAGGAAGATTTCATATAGACTTACCTTAACTTATAGAAATCTACCTGAAAAGTATCTTAGTAAAAGCATAAAAAGATAAATGAACAGAGCTGTTCATTCACTGAAGCACTATTTGTAAGAGAAAGACTGGAGCACAAAAATTCCATCAGTAAGTATTCTTGCTAAAGTAAATGGAACCTGAATCTGATCAAATCTCTACATATAACTATCAATTTACTGGAAATGCAAGAGACAGAAAAACATGTTAAATGACACCACCAGGATGTAATCAGCACAATCCAGACTGTAAGAAACTATAAAAAAACAAACAATAAAATTTACTCAAGAGCCTGAGCTGGCTTGGCTCAGTGGATAGAGCATCAGCCTGTGGACTGAGGGTCCTGGGTTTGATTCCGGTCAAGGGCACATGCCCAGGTTGCAGGCTCGAGCCCCACTGTAGGGTGCGCAGGAGGCAGCTGATCAATGATTCTCTCTCATCATTGATGTTTCTATCTCTCTTTGAGATTTGCCTCAAAATCATCTGTCACAGGAGAAATTGTGGGTGGGAGTAAAGAAGAAACAATGGCCAAGCATTGATCACAGTTGAAGCTGGATAATGTTACATTGGAGATTAATGATACCATTCATTCTAATTTTACATATGCTAACAATTTTCAATAAAATAACATTTATAAAAATAAACAGTGGATGGATACTTGAATTGGACATGTTCATTTTTATTAAGCAAATAAATTCTAATAAAAATAATCATAAAGATCTCTTTTATACTTAAAATAGGAATGAGCAGTTAACATAAAATGTATCAAAATTTAGTCTCCATTTTTAGCCCAAATCAACTATTTGGCTTCAGGTTCAATCTCAGCCTTTGAAAGACTAGATCACTCAATGTCTACGTAAGTCTCTTATCTGGCACCCTAGAACTTACGCATGATCTCTGACACAGTGATTATTAAATAGGTGACCATCACATCTAATCAGTATAACAATACCAGTAATATAATTCAGGCAAGTCTTCTGAATTTATTGTTAATTAACAATAATTTTTATTATTTTTAAAAATAGTTAAGTATTCTAAATGTAATTTAAAGCAAAAATGTACTTATATGCTTTAAATGTTAACATTCTATCATTCACTTTTAAGTATATTTACATTTAATATTGCCAGAGTAGTGTTGTAATAATTAACAATAATTGTTAAAGCTGCTAATTTCAGGTGTAGAAAAATGAGCACATTTAATTAGTAAAATATGGAACTTTTAGAAAAATAAAATAGTCTTCTTGAGCCAATATATATTTTATAAAAATTCAAATAATGTAAGAAAGAATAACAAAGATACATTATATTCATAATTTTAGTTGGTGTAGACTATTTGGCATATTAGCATTCATAACATTAAAAAATTAAACTTTAAGAGTTGTATTTAATTTCCAGGTCTCTAATTCCATTTAATCCCTGAGTCTTTCAAGAAAAAATCATAGTTGGTAACTGTCCACATCTTACAAGAGTAAATTAGAAGCAAAATGTTAACTTGCTATCTCTAAATTAGGTGAGAAAAGAAGATTCCACAAAGCATATATAACAATATTCCCAATACATCTTCCTTAATACAGATATAGTAGAAAATGAAAATTGTATTAAAAAAAGAAGAAAGTGTTTGAAAATGATGAGAGAAGTAATTTAGCAGCTGATAACGCTGAGAAATTACTGTAATGTCAAACTTCAAAACCTCATTAACTATTAAAAATTTTAAATACTTTATTATTTGATAGTGACTCTGTTATCAAAGTGAAATTCACTTTGTTCACAGGAGGTCACAGTTCAATTCCTGGTCAGGGCACATGCCCAGGTTGCTGGCTCAATTCCCAGTGCGGGGTGTGCAGGAGGCAGCCAATCAACGATTATCTCTCATCATTGATGTTTCTCTCCCTCTCTCCCTCTCCCTTTCTCTCTGAAATCAATAAAATATTTTAAAAAAAACACAGAGATTCACTTTATTCAAATAGTGATTTTAACACTCAAACATTCCACATTCCAAATTGTTATTTTTTGGTGCATGATGGATGGATGGGTGGGTGGATGGATGGATGGGTAAAAAGATAGACAAAATAAATATATCGATAATATTAGGACTACGTACACATATGTAAATATGTATGTGTACATATTCCAATAGTGACAAGGCTATAGAGAAAATGTTTGTGGCAGCATCTTTATTAGAACAAAACTTTAGGAAAAAGCTAAAAAAATTCATACTTTTTGCTCAGACATTCCAGTCATAGGAATTTATCCTATGCAGTAGAAAATTCTAAAACATGAAAGGTGTCCATGCATGGAGACATTTACTGAAGCATAATTTCCAATATCATAAAATTGGATATAATCCAAATATCCCAAAATGGAGATGTAATAAGACATGTATCTTTTTCTATTTGGAGTACTCATCAATCCTGTTTTTGCTCAATTTATTTTTGTTAGCCTTAATATCCCAATTCCAATGTCACTTCCTCAGGAAAACTTTCCCTCCCAATTGGAATCAAGTCTTGTTATTATACACCAGACACTATGTTCTATTGGAGTTTATACTTAATATAATTTTATGTGAGGGTTTATTTGAGAAACACTTCCCTCTTCCCACTCTCCTGCAAAAAAGTACATTCCATGAGAGTAGGGGCTATATTTTATTCACTATTGTATCTTCAAGGCACATGATAGTTATTTACTTGAGTAATTAAATATCATAAGATAATTAAATATTATCAAGATTATGTGGCAAAATATTAGGTTGAAAACCATACAGGGTTTTATGTCTATGTTTATCATGGAAAAAAATCAAATATGTATGTATACATTTATGTATGTATGTATATGTATATGCTGTATATATACAGTAGGTCAGAATAGAAGTCAGAAATATAAAAATAGTTTTATTAGGGTGATGTTATATAAGTGATTTTCCAATGAAATTCAAGAGGGAAACATATTGCATGGTAATCTTAAACCATACATGGTTCTAAAATACTGTGCACAATCACTTGCACATAAACCCCTTTCAAATCTGGTCCAGATTCACCCTTTGCTAGGTCAAGGCAAAAACGGGCATTCTAGAACAGAGGCACCAAGGGCATACTTGAACAGTGTTGTAGAAGGAGCCTTAAATCAGAGGGTATTCCATAGCTGGCATTAACTCACAATTTTTATTTTTCAGATTAAGAGAGAAATTGTTGAAAGCTAATGAAATAGCAATCTTACTAAAAAATAAAGTTGAATTCAGACCTCATAAGTTGTTATGAACAGTAAGTGAGTAAACTGCATAGCACAGTGTCAGAGAACATTCAATAAATGTTAGCAGCTATTCACTATTATTAATAGTTAGAAGATTCTAAATGCTATTTAAAATGTTATTTATTTTCACATTTACATTTAAATATTTTACTTCCTAGCAAGTCAGTTTTATAAAACTAGAAAAACACCCACACACAACTTCTAACCTTTAGCTCTGTGGAGGCAGCAGCTAATTTTTTTGCTTCGGTTAATGTGTGCAATTGCTGATAGTCTACTGGCTTATACTTAATGCTTCTCATTCCATTTTTCATACAGAATACCAGATTATCTGTTTTCCATCAAAAAAATAAAATGAGAAAGAAATAATATCACATTATTGGACATCAAAATACAGTTATAGCAGCATGCTGACTACCAGTCTTATTTTAAGTATTTTAAAGTAAATACAAGAAATAATATATTACAACAGTCACAGTATATTTGAACCTATATCTATAGAAACTTAAAATATATTACCACTATATTCCTTGCAAAAAATTACTTCTAAATGGCTATCAAAGAAATACTTTCATTTAAATTAGTATAGTGAGAATATTTTTAAAGTATAATGCCAAGATACAAAGTGTGACTACTTTTTTAGTTTAAAAAATGTTAGGCAGCAACTATAAGTATTTAAATATCACATTATTATGAATCAAATTAAGTAGATTATTTTTAAAGTCATAGCTGTATTTCTTAGAAAAACAAAAACATTCAATTCAATTTGAAAAAAGGTTGACAATGAAAGCTAAAAAATGTAATAGGCCAAATAAAACCAAAATGATATGAATGGACAGAGTGAGGCGCTGTCCAAGTCGCCCCATCTGCTCCACAGCCTCGCAGGCCATACACAGATGAGCAGCGCCCTGAGCGGTGGCCAGCAGAGAGCTGAGGTCACCGTGAGTCAGAGGCAGGTGCTGCAAGTGTTGGAGCAGTACCAGAAAGCCCGAGTCCAGTTCCTGCAGATGGTGACAGAGCTGGCGACCAGACCCCAAAACATGAGACCCTGCAGAATGTGGGTGTAATGTCTTTTCTGAGGCCTATTCTTCTGGATGTGGTCCCAATAATTCAGCCGACTGCCGCTTTGGCTATTGGGAGACTGGCTAATTATAATGATGACCTAGCAGAAGCAGTTGTCAAGGGCGACATTCTTCCACAGTTTTCTTCTTCAATGGCAGAACAGAATTCTATTCTAAATATGGCCTCACCCTGCCAAAGGAACAGAGCATGCCATTCACCTGGACCCCGCTGATGCCAGCTCCATCACAGAGCCCCCACCTTAACCTTTCAACAGACCTTAAAAACCTCAACCCCTCACGGAGATAGGGCCATTAGCTATCTTTCGTTCTTGGCCCCTTGGAGAGTGAATACACCTCTTTCTGCTCAAAAATAAATAATAAAAATAAAGTGATAAGAAATGTTTGGACAGGCATTCCCCATCCAAATACTTAGTTTAGTATATTAACTATTTGATAAAGTAAAACATAAGTAGAGGGTACTTAAGGCCAAGTCCAATAAAGAATAATAACCTGATTAATTCGAGAAAAAATTACTTTTACCTTAATTATGAATCATGTGTCATGTAACGTAATTAAAATTTGTTAAGTATGTCATGGAGCACATGACTATAAAAAGGCTCTAAACAATTTTAGGACAAGCACAATGAAGAAAAACATGGTTGAAGATGACTAAAACACCCATTGTACTGAAATAGCATAGTACTGGCACAAGAACAGGCATATAGATCAATGGAAGATAACAGAGAGGCCAGAAATCAACCCACACCATTATGCTCAATTAATATTTGATAAAGGAGGCAAAAGCATACAATGGAGTAAAGACAGTCTCTTCAATAAATAGTGTTGGGAAAATTGGACAGGTACAGGCAAAAAAAAAATGAAACTAGACCACCAACTTACACTATACACAAGAATAAATTCAAAATGGATAAAAGACTTAAATGTAAGTCACAAAACCATGAAAATTTCAAAGTCATAGGCAGCAAAATTTCAGACATCTCATATAGCAGTATTTTTGCCTAGGGCAAGGGAAACAAAAGAAAAAATAAACAAATGGGACTCCGTCAAACTAAAAAGTTCCTGCACAGCAAAAGAAACCATCAACAAAATAAAAAGAAAACCCACTGTATGGGAGAACATATTCATCAATGATCCATCTCATAAGGGGTTAACTTCCAAAATATATAAAGAACTCATTCAACTCAACAAGAGGAAGACTAACAATCCAATTAAAAAATGGGCAAAGGACCTGAATAGACACTTCTCCAAAGAGAACATACAGATGGCCAATAGACATATGAGAAAATGTTCAACATCACTAATCATCCGGGAGATGCAAATTAAAACTACAATGAGGTATCACCTCACTCCTGCCAAAATGGCTATTATCAATATACCAACAAACAACAAATGCTGGTGAGGAAGTGGAGAAAAGGAAAAATCTGGTACACTAGTGGGAATGCAGACTGGGCAGCCACTGTGGAAAACAGTATGAAGTTTCCTCAAAATATTAAAAATGGAACTGCCTTTGACCCAGCAATCCCACTTCTGGGAATATATCTTAAGAAACCCAAATACCCATCAGGAAGAATATATGCAAACCTATGTTTGTTCATAACAGTGTTATTTACAGTAGCTAAGATCTGGAAACAGCCCAAGTGCCCATCAGTAGATGAGTGGATAAAAAAGCTGTGGTACATTTACATAATGGAATACTATATGGTTGTAAAAAAAAGAAGAAGAAGAAGTAACTCTTACCCTTTGCAACAGTATGGATGAAGCTGGAGATTATTTTGCTAAGTGAAATAAACCAGGCAGAGAAGGACAATATCACATGATCTCATTTATATGTGAAATCTAATGAATAAAATAAACTAATAAAATAGGACCAGAGGCATGGATACATGGAACAGACTAACAGATCTTGCAGGGTGTTAGGGAAGACTGGAAGAGATTAAGCAAAGAACATAAATGCATAGCCCATGTACACAGACAATAATGTGGTGAAGACCTAGGGTGGTGCAGGGGCTAGGTAGATGAGGGCATGATGCGGGGAGAAATGGGGGACATCTGTAATAGTGTCACCAATAAAAAATATTTTTTAACACTCATTGTAAGGGAACTAAAGAAACCTTCAATTTGACCCCCAAAATTAGCTTTCCATGATTAAAATTTTTAAAATCAACAT